TTTTTCCTAGTTCTTGGGGAAACATTAGTAGGCCACTTAGCAACACTAAATTTCTTATCCCGACGTCTCTCCATGCACATTTCTATTATCTGCCTGTTCATGCTAATTGGTGCTTTGCACCTTGCATTAAGAATCCATGCGTTAAAGGTTTCTGACATGTTGTTGTCAATATAGAATCATATTTGGAATGAGGATCAACAAAAGCCTTTGACCAGTACTTACCATCCTTCTCTATTAGCTAAGCATAACCTTAGATATTTTATCTGTATTTATCTGTATTTATAAGTTAAATATCTTACTCTTCATGGCAGATACCGGAAAAATTACTCTTCTGATGATAACCGATCTCTTCGTTCATGTCCCTCTTCATGCCTCTTCTCTTTTGAATTTTTCTGCAACAAAGACACATCCAAGCCCTACAAGAGAAAGCAAAGGAGGACCAAGATTCAATTTTTCTAGTGGTGGGTACTTGCCAGACTAGCTGGGTTCATTTCCTCACACTTCCATTAGATATTTGGATGGAAAAAAATATAATATATATTGTTAGTAAATTGACAACCATTAGATCAAGTCGAAATCCAGTCTCAGCACCAAAAATAAAAATAAAAAAACTCACCTTAAATTTCACCATGTTTTAAGCCTTGCTGGTTGAATCTCTCTACTAGGAAGAAGCTATGATGATTCAATTGCAAAGCCAAAGCCGGATATGAAGGTATAGAGAAGAGAAGAAGGCAAGAAGCCTAGAAAATCAGTGCAAGGCATTGAGAAGCAGAATGGGAGAGAGTGATCCAAAATGGAAAAATTCAAAATGGAAAGGATTGTGTTAGATTAAATTTGGGTATGGCCATTCAATTACCGGCGGAGTTAGATCAGCACCGACTAGGAAAAACAGTGAGCAGATACAGAGAAAAGTGATAGAGCAAGATATTCTACAAATTAAAATTTTAAATATTAATAGATATTTATTTGTATATAAATTTTATATATTATAATTATATAAAATTAACTTTAATTTTTTAGTTTTAATACCATAAAAGATTATAAGTTTATCTTTTTAACATGTAATTAAATAAGTGATCGCTTCTATGATGAATTTGTTGAATGATTCATGCCCTTGGGTAAAGGATATGGCCCCATGAAATATTGGAATAAATGGTATTACGAATCTAATCTGCCTCTACCACAAAAAATTGACAATTACATACTTGCAGTTCTCCTAGCTTCGTCTGTACATCACTCAAGTTACATCAAATTGTAAACGGTCTCCCCGTATGCATCACATGTTTAGTTAATTTTCTGGAAAATATCAAATGGCTGCTAAATTTCCTAAATTTGATGCTAATTTAACATACACTTGTGTAATTCCTGGGTTAATGTTATCTTCAACTTCATCGTTTCCAATTAAAGAATCTAAACTGACTGCTGCTATCTTCAGTTTCTTCGTCTATAGAACTCGATTTGCTCCCAATTGATTCATCTGAACTGTCATTCGAAACGAGCTTTTATACGGTCTGCACGCTCAATGACCCGGTCAGTGAATCCTGGAGTTGCTGCCAGTTCTGCCATA